GAGACGGGGTTTCACCATGTTGACCAGGATGGTCTTGATCTCTTGACCTCGTGATCCACCCGCCTCGGCCTCCCAAAGTGCTGGGATTACAGGCTTGAGCCACTGCGCCCGGCCTTCAGTCTTTAATTGTAATCACATCTATGAAGTCCATTTTGCCATGCAAGGTAACATTCACAGATTCCAAGGATTAGGGCATGGACATCTTTGGAGGCCATTATTCTTCCTAGCATGAATTCATACAATAACCAACCAACAAACAAAAAACTTAGAAACACAATGCAGTTGACTCTTGAAAAATGCAGGGCCCTGCACAGTCAAAAATCCATGTATAACTTTTGACTTCCCAAATACTTAACTAATAGCCAATTGTTAACTGGAAGTCTTACTGATAACATATACAGTTGATTAACACATATTTTGTATGTCATAAGTATTATAAACATTGTATTCTTACAATAAAACAAGCTAGAGAAAAGAAAATGTTATTAAGAAAATTGTAAAGGCAGGGCACAGGGGTTCATGCCTGTAGTCCCATCACTTTGGGAACCCTAGGCAGGAGGATTGCTTGAAGTCAGGACTTTGAGACCAGCCTGGGCAAACAGCAAATCCTTATCTCTACAAAAATTTTAAAATGAGCTGGGTGGTGGTGCACACCTATAATCCTGTCTACATGGAGGTGGGAGGATCACTTGAGCCCAGAAATTTGAGAGCAAGACCCTATCTCATAAAAGAAAAATCATAAGAAAGAGAAAAATATATTTGCTATTCATTATATAGAAGTAGATCATCATAAAGATCTTCATTTTTGTTGTCTTCATGCTGAATGGGCTGTGGAGGAAGAGTTTGTCCTGCTCTCTCTAGGGTGGCAGAGGCAGAAGAAAATACGCATGTAAGTGGACCCATCCAGTTGGAACCTGTGTTGTTCAAGGGTCAACTATATTTGATTGGAAGGAAATCTCTCATACCTTTACTTTTGGTTACGAATTGGTCCAAAAATTAAGAAAGCTTTGTTATAACTTCTGTACAAAGCAGTTTGGCAAAATATAGCAAGAACTTTAAACTAGAACTTTATTTCTAGAAGTTTCTTCTATGAAAATCAGAAATGTGGAAAAACATTGCCTCTTGGCCTTTTGCCTAAGATCCAAGTGTAGAAATGCAGAACAAGATGGAGGTTGCAGTGAGCCCAGATTGTGCCATTGCACTCCAGCCTAAGTGACAGGGTGAGACGCTGTTTCAAAAAAAAATTGGGAATATCATAAAAGTTTAGTAATTGGTTGTTGGTCATATAAATGATTATCCACAAGATAGAATATTATGTAGATATAAAACCAATATTTAAGAAACCTGGTAATGACTCAGAAAATGCTCATTATATAATAATAATAACATAATAATATAATAATAATTATATAATAATATAAAATGAAATGTAAGATACAAACTAGATACACAGTATGATCTAACTACTATGTAAATTATATAAATAGGACTGAAACTGGAAGATAAAAAGCAAAAGGTTAACAGTGGTGATATTAAATTTTTTTACAAACAGTGTATACTAGTCACCATCAACAAGCTTTTTTGTAAGTACCTATTACCCTTCCCCCAATTTTTTGTCTACATGCTTTGGAATTTTATATTTCTTTATGAGGCTTAGAGAATCTTTGATTTGGAGGGGTTTAAGAAACTCTTAGTAGATTCCAGAATCTGGCTATTTTCCTCATTCTACTGTATCATATTTCTGAAGAAGCAAATAGTCACTTTGAGCCGCTCCCAACACATCTTGCATCATGGTTTTTTCCACGATGGTTATTTCCATTTTCCCAACTTCATTAGTAGACTCCTTTGTACTGAAGCCTGTTCTAACTACCCATTTTGTTGTGATCTATAACTTACTTGCTGAGCAAAAGTGTAAGGAATTTAAATTCACATCTTTAACTGCTTGAACCCTTACCTTATCTTTGTTTTTGTTTTTTTTTGAGACAGAGTTTTGCTCTTGTTACCCAGGCTGAAGTGCAATGGCGCGATCTTGGCTCACCGCAACCTCCGCCTCCTGGGTTCAGGCAATTCTCCTGCCTCAGCCTCGTGAGTAGCTGGGATTACAGGCACGCACCACCATGCCCAGCTAATTTTTTGTATTTTTAGTAGAGATGGGGTTTCACCATGTTGACCAGGATGGTCTTGATCTCTTGATCTC